CTCGTTGGAGGAGATAAATATAGCCGTAAACAAGAAAACAGGACATGTCCTGTGATGATTTAAAAGCAAACAGGCAGTGGGGCAGCGCACAGCGAGCGAACGTGCTGCGCTCCCTGTCCGGGGCTGCTCGGCAGCACCGAGGCCACACTCGGGGTCGGTGTGGGTGTCCTTCTGATGCTCATCCTCTGATAAAATCACCAGCGGGGGCCGAGCGCTTGCTGGGGAGGGGGAGAAAGGACCAGAATGGGTCCTGTGAAAGAGGGGATGGAGGTGGGTGGGTGCCAGGGGTGCACTGATGCGGGGTGTTTCGCTGGCGGCTGGCATGCTGCTGGAGATGGAGGAAGGGGCGAGCCCATCCCAAACAGGAGGACAGTGGACAATGGGGAGAGGTTTAAGCAGGAGCAGGGGAGAAGTGGCTCATGTTGGGCCAAGCATCCCCCCTGTAAGGGGACTGGGTGCCCAGAGGGTTTGCGGCCAGCTGACGCATACAGGGTGGTTTATCCCCTGGGAGCTGCTGCAGAGGCAGGGGTGGCTGCAGGGCTCCCGGGAGGAAGGGCCACCGGTCTGTGTCCCCAGACTCGGCAGTGCCACCCTGGTGAGCTCCTGCTGCTGCCTTCCCTGACCCGGCTGAACGCTCTCCCTCTCTTCCCTGCACAGCGACAGTGGACGCCCCTTCTTCCTCTACCTGGCGCTGGCCCATATGCACGTCCCGCTGGGGGTGCCGCCGCCGCTGCCCCCCGCCTCAGGCAAGGGCATCTACGGAGCCTCCCTCAGCGAGATGGATGCTCTGGTGGGACAGATAAAGCGGGTTGCTGACAGCCACGGAAAGGGCAGCACGCTCTTGTGGTTCACAGGTACAGCAGAAAAACTGGCTACGGTGGCTGGGGGCGATGCCAGCGGCTGCACCGGCACCAGCCCGGGGTGTGTGTGGGTGGCGGGGGCCAGGACCCATGTTTGTCCCCTGCCCTTGATGCTCCTGGCTGCTCTGCGAATGGGTTGCAGTCAGCAGCCGCAGTCGAGCTGCTCGGGGCCATCACATCGCGAGGATGGGGGTCCTGGGCTTCTGTGGCCACTCAGCCAGGTGCCCACCCTGCCACCCCCCTTCAGCCATGGTGCTGAGCCGGCAGGGCCGCGCCTAATTAAACCACAAATCCTCATTCATTAAGAAGCCCAAATCCGCTCTCGCTGAGCAGCCTCCCTAATGAGGATGTCTTGCTCCTGATGACAGGAACCGCTCCGCTGCTCATTAATGCCCAAAGCTGGTGGCAGCCGTCCCCACCCTGCGCCCCAGCTCCTCTCCAGCCCCTCGTCCGGGATTCGGGCAGTCCCAGCCCTTGAAAATAAACTTTTAGAAATAAAAATAAATAAACCTGCTGTTCTTGCTAATGTGGGAAAGCATCACAGGGACGGGAAGGAGGGATGGAGGGGTCACTTTTCCTTGCTCACCCCTCATTGCAGAGGTGCCCCCTGGTCCTGGTGTCACTCATGGGGACGTTTCTTTCTCTTGCAGGTGACAATGGCCCCTGGGCGCGGAAGTGCGAGCTGGCGGGACGCCTGGGGCCATTTGTGGGGGCCTGGCAGAGGCAGCGAGGTAACCTGGCAGTGTGGGGGGCTCCCTCTCCCTGGGGGTGCAGGGGGAGCTGCTCCATAAAGCCTTTCATTGCCCATCGAGGGGGATGTGGGGAGCATTTCACCCCCCAGCCTTTCTGCTGGCTGCTGCCCTGGGCTGAGTTGCCTTGAAGACAACCCAAAATAATTTTTTCCTTTCAAGCAGTCAAGTTTTCCCCTAAAACCACTGC